GTTCAAACTTTAAGTGAATTTGAAAACCGTTATTTCGCCTTAACGAATTTAATTTATGTAGCTGTTGTTAATTTATTGATAAGTCTTTAAATTAGTATTTTAATAAAAATTAATTTCCCTAAAAGAATTTTCGTTTTCAAAAAATTTATATATTTTTGAACGTATGAAATCTCAAACATCTGTCACAAATTGAAATAGCTAAGGATTTTAGTGGATTGCAATTTACAAAGCTCGTGCTGTATTAGGTGTTGTAAAATTTTTAAAATTAAACGAGATAGCAATCTTCTTTGTCATTTATAAAAGTTCTACATTTATAGAATGTAATATATTTTTTTTAATTTAACTTTCTGTCATGAGAAAATCTTCAAAGCTTATGAATTACCTGCGAAAAACTTTAAAACATCCATTCTGTATATCGTTAACTTATAATAGTAATTAAATAATATTAATATACAATAGAATCACTAGATAGTCACAAATAGGATACCGATGTAGTATAAGATATCGTGTTCTATTTTATACCAATATAGTAACTATAGTAATTTCCTTGAATTTAAAAATCAAAATTGTGGAATTTAGGGTAATATTACAGTTTTTACATACTTATTAGCTGATACCAAATTTAAAGAATAGATGATTTCGATTTTAAAACTTCTGTTTGTTAAACATTGACCAAGTAAGATCAAAAAATTATAAAACAGCGTATAACGCTATAACTTTTTTTTTTTTTAGACAATATTTATAAAAATAATATCAATTTTCTTAGTAAATAATTGATAATATTTGGTGTTAAAAGTTTAAACTCATCCTGGCTGTACTCAGATATAAGGATTTGCCTTAATATTAATGTAGACGTCACAATTTAAATTTTGTAAATCTATTATTCGTTAGATAGTTGAAGACGATAAATACGGATATTAGTGATATTACAACCTTTTAATGCTACTCAAATGATGCTTATATTGTTTGTACACAAGCCGGTATAAAGTTCATGAAATCTTAAATCATTACAGTATTATAATATATGTACCAATATATGTAATAATTTACATACGTAATATTTTGCCACGTGTATGTAGAAAAAAAGGTTTGAAACATAGATACACAATAAATTTTATTTATAAAATAATTTGTAAATAATTTAAAACCGATAATAGCAGAGTCTAGATTTATCTTTTTAAGTTAATACGCGTTTTAACGAGATTAAGAAATGTTGAAGAAATATATGATTGTAATTTCAAAGTGTACACCAACAACTTTTACACACTATTATTTACCTATTTTAGGATTAAGGTAACTTAAGTATTATTTGCAAAGCCTAAGAATTTTTTTTAAACGATTAAGTAAAAAAAATAAACAGTATTTTATCACTTTCTGTTGATTGTAAGTAAGTAATTTATTCCTTTTTTTTTCGTGTTATTGTATCATAGATGTTTGGTAAATATTAATTTTATATTTTTATAAAGATTTAAAACGAAAATAATTAAAATATAATTATAAGGTAATTGGGTAAACAAACCAATATATTATATACATACATACATATATAGGTAATTAATTTGTGATGGTCAAGATAACAAGCAACTTAAATGACCTAATTCGTGATTTAAGAATAATAAAGACTAGTATACAAAATAACTACAATAATAGCTTAGACTTTAAATTCAATAATGAGTTTAAAAACATTAAACAATCAAAAATAACAATTATCATGTCAAATACAACTGTATTTATTTCTTTAATATATTTATTTTTTTTATTCAAACGTTTTATATAAAAAAATGTTTGGAAAAAAACACAACTTGGTTACACAATATAATAAAATTTGTAAAGGCATTTTACAATAGGTACATTGTTCGGTGAAATAATCTTCTGTATTTTACATAAATAATACGCACACATAGAAATGACTACACATTTAACGATGATAATAAAAAAGCTAAGACATTAATACTGGACAGGAGACGGTACTACAGGTACCTTCCAACCAGACAAGTATTATAATATCGTATTGTGTTGTGGATTAGTATACTTTATAACGTCGCGCGTACATTTTTTATTAACCAAACCGGTAAAATTGGCGACATTGGCGTACAGAAAATTGTTTCTTTTAATAAATAACATTGTAATGCATGTTATCATAACAATAAAAATAATTCATTTAAACAAGTTTAAAAAACCACCAACCAACTACAGAATATATTGCGCGATTTACGCCGCGTGTCGTTTTGCTGCGTAAATTTACGGACGAGACTGCAGCCTGTTGCCGTTTACAAAAGTACGAGATAAATTGCAACCAAACACCATAATAATTATAATAATATATAAGCGTATAGGTACTTATGTACGCGTAAGATTGGTGTTCACGCACGACCACGCTGGTATTTACATAAAACAATATTTATAATCGAATGATATTCGCCGTGATTTCTTTATATTTATATTTTTATTTATATTTATGTATATTGTATACGTACCGTCTTAAACTGAATTGTTTAGTGTTATAATAACTTAAATACATGTATACATATTAACATGACGTGTGGTAGTGTTGTAAACAGACGTAACGTAGGTACTTGACTATATGCCTGCTTAACATAAATAATCGTAAGGCGGCGGAGACACACGCGTTCACCGTACGCGTAGTATTTATATCATTTTATTTTTATCATTTTACCCGAGTAAAATATGTGTAAGTGGTATTAAACATATTATGCGTTTAGTGTTTGCAATAACTGCGATCGTAACAATATATTATAATAATATGTAGGTATGTACATAATAATATATTTTATTAACAGATGCGACTGCGCGAGTTTCGTTCGTTTGAGAATCATGCGTGTTCAGTATTACCATGTCGCAACCTAAAAATGGTATGGTATATGAATCTATACTACCACAGACTTAAAATAGTAAGAAGTTCTTTCATTTTTTTTTACATCCGGAAAGTGTACATTATTCGAAATAACGCCAAAAAGTGTGTTGTATCGTATTCAATTATTTGACTTTTTCGTAAAACTTTTCAGAACATTATATAATAATTTATATAATTATATTGAATAAAGAGCACTTTTACATTTGATGTTCAATATTACGATTATCAAATTTGATCCTTCCCCCCCCCCCCCCCCCACCCTTAAGATCTCATGTAACTTTTAAATTGTTGGACATTATATCATTATGTTTCTATAATACTTATTATGAATTACATAATGTGAATTACCACTTTTTTCATATCGCATTGTAAAAAATGAATTTTGAAAATAATGTTGTAGTGTAGATTTAAATTTTTTTTGATTTGTGTGTAAGTTATTAAAAACAGAATGTTCAGGGTATGATATATTTCCCCCGCAATATTTTTATTTTTCATTATTTTTTTTTTTTTTTTTTTTTATCGCAAATCATAATTATTCTTCATGACATAATACCCATTGGTTATTAAAATGCATTTTTAGAACTGTTTTTCTATTATACCTAACCGATATTCGATAATGGGAATTTACGAGATCGCAACCCATATCAATATCATATTATTATTGTTGTTTGGGTTGTAGTCGGGCACGTGTCAGGTAGGCAGTATACTATCTAAAAATATCTAGTCGGTTCAGTATTCACTATTCAGGCACACGTGCATATTATATACGTTTGTAATAGTGGTATGTCGTGTGATAACTCGTATAACTCGGAGATTTCGCGACGGAGATTTATTTCTTGTCGTTAATTGTTTCACATTACCACAATAAGTGTCATATATTGATCTTTAAGATCGTCTGAAATTTCCGGTCGGTGTACGTGAAAAATCGTCCAACACCGCGAGATCGCCGTCGACGGTCGATCGGACACACGACACTGAATCCGATGCGGCGAGCGTTCTCGCGCTCACTCACTCAAATGCACGCAGCGATTATAATATTTTAGTGTACATGTTATATTTATCATCATTATTATTATTAATATTATTACAACAGCATAAACTCTCGTCTACGGAATCATTAATAATAATTATAATATTGATAAAAATAATTATTACGTATACTAACAACACAAACGGTAGGTAAATCGTTATCTATATATAGTAAATAATAAATATTACATGTATATTAGTGTTCTGCATGGTCTGGTCCTAACTTACAAAAACTATTGAATTGTCGGTTTGGCTCGGTTCAATATTTTCTAGGAGTAATTCGGTCTTAGTCCTCAGATAAAATGCATTATTATCAGTCCGGTTCGGTTTCAAAAAATAAAAAATGAAAATTAGTTAGGTTCAGTCCGGTCCGGTCTCAGTCATAATACTTAAAATCTTAATAAGATATTGTTATGTATAATACAAATAAAACGACAAATATCAAATAAAAACTCATAACTATTGGTAAATATTTATTTATAAGGTGATTATATTGATTACTAAATGCGGTTTGTCCATAAATATCATCGGCTACCATCCGTCAAACGTGAATGTCAAGAGATATAATTTTATTTTTATTCATAGAATAATTCATAAACCATAATACGTAATCTCGGGAAATTCAACAACATTATACCGAGTATTATAATTATAGCGTCGTATGGTCCGGCGGTTTGGGCTTGAAATTGGTTGAAAATTACGGTTCGGTCCATAAACGATCCAAAATGGTTTAAGATCGAACCGGCAGTCCGGTCCCGGTCTACTCTACTCGATTAAATTTAATTATTGGTCCAGTTCGGTCTCTCGTTCAAATTTGAAGTCCGGTCTGGTCCCTAAGATAACGGACCGTGCAGAGCACTAATGGGTATATATTTGTAATCAATAAGCTTCTATTACTATTATAAACATTATACTACAAAACGTCCCATTCCAATACCGTATTGAACGCTCGCGAATCGACAGCCGTCTGCGGGTTTTCTCGATCACTGTACGCGCTTGAGTGTGTGTGTATGTGTGTGTGTGTGTGTGTGTGTGTGTGTGTGTGTGTGCGGTGACGTGTGTGTACGCCGTACGGACATCGGAGTTTCGGACGGACGCGATTAGTACACCCGGTTTGTCGAGTGCGTCGACACACTCGCCCGCGTGTCGATCGTCGTGCAGTACGTTATTGTAGTAATTATTAGGTATTATTTTTGAATTAAAATCGACGACGCACCGTCGCAAGTCGGCAGTTACTTCTCATCAAACGTCTTGTCTTTCCGCGGTTCGATTGATATTAAAAACAATAATACAGTTCACATAATATTATTACGTCGGTAATCTGTTAGTCGACGGTAGTACTGAAATACAATAACATAATTGCACGACGAACGCCACTCGGACGACGAAATTATTATCGTCGAACAATTACCATTATTTAAACTCAAAACCGTTTGTGCGTGTGTGTGCTATTTATTTTTTCTCACCGATCGATTCGTCGTTTCCAGCGCCAACGATTCATCAGCTGCACCCTGCACACGCCGACACCGTCTCCGGCGAGGATATAATAATTACTGTGGCACCTACCACGGTAACGAAACAATTTTTGGTGGTCCGCCGCCATCATACAAATTGTCGCACCGAACGGAACGAACGGACTTGAGGACACGTAAAATCCCGTCGCCATGAAGTTCACACTCTCCGAATGGATAATTCTGGCCGTGGTCGGATCTGTGCACTTTTGTTGCGCTATTTGTATATCGTTGCAAGCGCCTTTTTACCCCGAAGAAGTGAGTACTACAGCCTCGAAACATCACGCCTACCTGTAGCCCTTTATACATACGCCTTATAATATCGTATCCCATATTTCACGTTGATTGATATTATTAGGTCATACGTTTTGTACCGAGGGTGGCCGACATAAATGTGTTGGTGTGAACCACATGGATAAACGATATCAATGATATTAAGAGTTAAATTAATAAAAGTAGCCCTCCAAGGAGACTAAACGTAAATGGTGCAGAGATTTAATACATTAAATAATAACATATAAGATTTAACTAAATATATAATTTATAATATAAATACTAATAAATAACTAAATCGCATTCGACTAAACCAAGTCGAAAGTGTCATCAGTGGGTGGCTTCTTTCCTCAAATTTATGTATATCACCCTATTTGTTTGTCTCCCTTACCGCACATAAACTTATTATGCCTAAGATATAGATTGTATATTTTCTTCTTCTTCTAAAAAAAAAATAATTACATATAAGATTTGATACATTTTTATAAATGTATTCCAAAAGAAAGTTCATAGTAATAAGTAATTAAGTAAATTTTGATTTTATAAATGAGTAGCAAACTGCAAGTTAGTCACCCTTGCATATATACATAATGATTAATATTTATTTATTTATAATAAAAATCAACAGGCATAAGACTTTTTACAGATAGAAAAATACAAAAATATTGGTACATCTAAAATAGGTAAAATGATGTATATTTGGTCAACTGGTCGGCTGAATCCTAACTTTTTTTAGATTTCTGACAATGGATAAATCTTTTGGGCTAGTGTTGTTTATGTTTACCGTTTGAGCAAGTTTAGTAAACTATATACGTTATCAAATGAAACCTCATTATTGTTTTGTTTTTTCACGTGCATTAATGCCTACTTAATATGTAATAATATGTATTCCAGATTATCGTTTTATATGTAGTACAGTTTTTTATTTCATTTTAATTATTGATAGATATAAAACTGACAATAAGTAAAAACAGTAAATAAATTTCGTTTCTTGTAGTATTCCAATGTTGATGATAGTTCTAAATTTGTTCAAACGGGAAGGGAAATGCTGTTGCATAAACGGTACACGACACTAGTCCAAACGCCGAATGGTATATAAAATTTCGGTAAATTTATATATACACATATATTTGATCAAATCGACCAAACGGACTACGCCCAAATAATGTTAAAATAGATATCATTAAACAATTTTACTCTTATCATAAATTTACAATATTCTGTTTGTTGTTTTTTAATTACCTATTCGTCGACGAAAATTATAGGTACACGAGGATTATCCGATAACAATGGACGTGATTAACCTCAAAATAACGATGAAGTTAACCGTTTGACGTCATGCTTGTTCTTGATGTGAAATTGTGGATATAAATTTCGTTTTTGTATAACTTTGGTTCCGTTAGACATAACGAAAAATCAAGTGTTGGCGATTTATACTTTTAAACTGTGTGCTTACAAAATAATTAAGTTTGAAACAATTTATACCTTACACGTTTTATTCTTGAATATTATTTTATTATAATAATGTGTATTGTTATTTTTTTTACATATTTATGGGGTCTTTTCCATAATAGAATAGTTAATCAGTATTTTGTGGAGCCTAAAAAGCCGTTGAGTTTTTTTTACTTCAAATAATGATATAGTATGAGCAATAATTGTTATTGGAATCGATTTGGAGCGTTAAGAATAATTTCCTATTATAATTTTTATATATAATAACCTTACTGACAACAGTAAACCATTAATTAAATCGATTTAATACATTTTATTGATACGATGTTAGTTAAAGCAAAACACATTAATAAAAATAAAAAACAAGATATATGCATTTGTTATAAAGTTTGACATTAAAGAAAAAAACAAACAAATAAAATATTATAAAAAATTAATGCTTAAAAATGTTTCATTGATACCTTATATTTTCTGTTACAAAGAAGATATAACTTAAATTCTATTTTTCTTCTATTATGAAATCTTAAAGACATAGTCGAGGACATAGTTAAGATAGTACTTATAATTAGTGTTTTTTTTTAATTCTACGAGTTCAGATTGAATAACATATATTAAAATAGCGTCATACCTAGGTATTTAATGTACTTTACAACGAGAACTATTTGCGTAGTTAATTTTGAATTTCAACTAGGTATGTACTTTCTGTTAAGTTTCAAGTGTCGGAATTTCTCTTCATAATGTTATAATTTATAAGTATAAGTCACCGACTTATATTGGTTTAAATAACCATATAGTATTTTTGTTACTAAACGTGGTCTTCAATATCGAAATTACATGTTATGTTTTTTTAATAATTATAATTACTTTTTAAAGTATGATAAAACTGCATATAATTGTAGACTTAAAGTAGAGTAGTTATTATAGACTATATAATTAAAACATAGTCAAGACATTGAGACATAGTTTTTTAATAGACATTAGTGATTCTTGTTTGTAATTTTTAACTTCGGTTAAAAACGTAATTGATTTTATATTTCAATGTTGAATGCTATTCCACGTACGGTAAACTTATATATTTGCATTGTTCTTAACAATCGTAAATGGGTTTTTCATAAAAAGTTCAAAATAATGTCTTCTTTGCGATATGCCAATGATGCGCATACTAAACGTGTTGGGAGTTATGACGCCAGACTACAATTTAATTCTAGTTTAATTTTTATCGTTTTTAAATTGAAACATTTGTAAAAAAAAAAATTGAGTATAACATTTTTAAAGTTATGTCAATTGTATTACTTATTGTCATTAACATATTAATAAATTGTGTCTAATTGTTTTTACAGTTAAATAATAATTTTTTTTCTTAAGTTCTTATGATACAAAAACTTGATAAATTCTATTTTTGTGTAGAATTCCATTCAAATTTTTACTTGTGATTATCATAAAGTTATTTTTAAATATTCCTTTACAGTTGACTTAGAATCTAGAGTTACCAATAGTTTGATTATTTTTATTTTTAAACTCAAATCAAAGACATTATGATGTAAAACATTGTAAAATTAAATTAAAATATTACCTACTTACGGCTTAACTTACGTTAATTAACTTTTAAATGCGTTCGGATGAGTACTAAATTAAACTACTTAGTTTTTTAATTTGATTTTTTCTCTAAATAAATAAGAAAGTACTAGTTTTTAATCGAATTGTTCATGGATTAAATTAAAACTTGACATAGTTATTTTAGTATGCACCAGATAAAATGCATGTTTATTGCAATATTAACGTTTTAATTAAATTTTACTATTTTTATTTTTTATTATTATAATTAGTTAAATTTTCTAAAGTAAATTGAGAATAAGTTTAATTTTTAAGTGTAATACCGTATTAATATCAAAAATATATAAATTGTAATTCTATGAAAATTAAATTTACTAAAACGTTTAATTTTAATTTTTAATAATTCATCATAGTGTAATTATCTTAAAATATCACTTTGAATTCAAATATTTGTATTTTCTAGAGCTAGTACCACAAATATTATAATAATATAATTGAAGAAAAGTTATTTTAACTGTAAACGATAATGTAAAATTATAATGACGACTTAAAGAAGTCGCAGGATCTCAGCTTATAGTCGGTACTCAGTTCTTATTTATAAAGACGAATTTGCTCGCATTTCCATTTATGCTAAAGAAAATTAAGTTCTTTATTACTTATTTCATAATTTATAATTATAACATTTATCATATAGGTACACACAATTAATTTAATTTTATAAATTTTCGATTTAAAAAAAAAAAAAATTGTTTAAACAAAATATTTACAGAAGAACAGTTAATAATTATTAATTTATAAAATTCTGAAGCATGGAGAAAAATATTATATTATTAATAAAACAGTTTTAAGTCGTCTGTAGCTTATTCTTATCTAAGGTAAAATCGATAAGATAGGAATTCCAACGTCTGATAAGATTATGATAACATTGATAACTTTTGACGTGTATATTGGTACTTGTATATAATTTTGTACAGAACAAATTAATTGAAGTTTTATTTCAAGTTTCAACACAAAATCTGTTTTTATCTATAAATTTTAACTACCAAATATTGTAAAATAAACCTTAATTAATCGTTAACAAAACATATTGATAAATATGTATGAGTACAGACAGTGGTACACATTAATTGATGTACATTTTAATGATAAACGGTAACACGATATAATAATAATTCAATACTGTATTGCTAAAATAATATTTTGTACTTTTGCATATTAATCAAAATAATAGTATTTGTTCACATGTTATGATACTATCGTGATAAATGATGATGCAATAATTTGCATCTCTAATGCAAAATAATATGCCTAAAAATTTTATATGATTATCATTAAACTAAACTCTTTAAAAGTTATCAAATTTAGACTCGTGAATTTTCACAAAATATAATCTTTTAAAAGCCATATGTATTGGTGAACTATTGATAGTCATATTATTATTATTAAAAAACATTACATTTTGCATTACTATTTGCACAAAATATATCAAAACAATCGTAATTGCCATAAATCATAATAATAATAACAATAACTCACTGCAATATTATCTTCGTGTTATTTACCTTTTACGAGTAATTCATTTCAAATGCTTATTATCGTTTATCACGATGTGTTATACACTTGCGTGCAAATTAATATCAAATATTTAGGTTTTGGAGAGTTGAACAATTTTCTCACTTATAGAATATGATGTACCTATGTGGATTATTTATTTAATTGTTTTTGATATCATTGTTATAATAATATTGTAGACCATAAGCATTTTTAAGTGTTGTCGAAGGTCGTATTCTTATTCAATGTCAACTAGTTATACTGTTGTATCTATAACGTGTACTTGAACTAACTTGTTCTATATTAAATAATATATTATTATTATGTACCATCAATTAGAAACAAAGGCTTAATTTTCAATAGTGTTAATAATACGCTATATGTGATAAAACAATTATTGTTTGCATTATTTTTATTCGCATTTGAACATCTTTATTTATTATAATATTTATTATATTTATTGTGTGTTTAGGCTGAGAAGAAAGGATGTTCAGCTACAGAATATGGCTTTGTTTTTGGCAGTTTCGAACTGGTGGCATTCCTTACGTCGCCAATTTTCGGAAGCCTGGTAAGTAAATAACTTTTTGTTATACTATGTTTTGAAAATTGTAATGTAATATGCATTCGGGAATACAATCACGTTTTAAATCAATGTATTCCACTATATTATTGATATTATTGTACCTATTGTACTAATACAAATAATTAATTCAGTGTTTATTATTTTATTACTTAATATTTATAGCTGTTAGAGGTAATTTATCGAGTAAATTTATTTTTATATCTTATATGTATAAAGCCTGAAATCTACAAAATAAACAAATGAGTCCACTCGCAGAAAACTCATAAATTCTGACGTTTTAATAACATTAGCCCATTAATACAATATTATTATTTTCAAGTTGAGTTTAATACTCTTTAAACATTAAAATAGGTACCTTCTTATAGGTCTTATACTGTCTACCGACGGTAAATTTAACTCTAGACACGTACGTTGTACAAAATATACAACTTGACCGTATACACAAGGAATTGGACTTAAACGTATTCCAATGTGTTTTCCGTGTATTTCAAGGGGTGCAACACGATTGCGAACGTTTTACCTTTTTTATAACATGATTATCGCTTATCAAAGAATTTGATTTTTTTTTAGCTGAAAAACGAACGATTGTGAATGTTTTTATAGGCTACGTTGCCAAATTTATAATTTCTGAATATGTTTTATTTTTTTCAGGAATTCAATTAAAACATTTTTTTTTTTTTTTAAATAAAAACTATTCCATATTAATAATAAAATGTTACATTATAACTATGATACAAACTAAAATAATATAAATAATATGAAGTGTTTAAATTTTTAATTAATTAAAACAATTTCGGATTATAAATATTAATAATAATGCTACATAATGTATAATACGTTAGAAAATCTACATTGTACCTACTTATCTTATAGCCCGGCGTAATAGCAGAAAATCCCTTTATTATTTAATTATTTTAAAAATTTGTGATTGACTAACACTAAATCAGGTAACAATGCACGATTAAAGGCAGATAAAAACATTTGCAATCGTGTTAGGGAAAAGGTCCGTTTGCAATTGTTCCATTCGCAATCGTATAATACCCATTTCAAGACACTAAAATACAATCAGATAAATAAAATCGTTTTAATTTGCTAAATTACTAGCATGTCTATTGTGGCAAATATTAGGTGAGATATACATAATGTCACAACGAGTTAAGCTATTTTAAAATAAAAACCATAATTTAGATTAAACAGTCGTCATACTCGATTTTCGACAATAGGTACTAATACTAATAATCACATTACAAAGTTTGTAACTAATTTTTAAATGCACATCCAAGGTGTCACACTAAGCTTTACTAGAAAACCACCTGCACCACTAATTATTTATGCATACGTTACTTACATTTCAGATGGTTGTAATATTAAATGTGTTAAAAACTTAGAACTATGTTTCGATTCTACGTATTAAGTATACTTGTATCAATTAATTTTATAGGTTCTTTTATCCATTCATGATTAATCTTTATTTTAAATGTAAATCGTGTTCATTTAATACTATTTTTTTAATCATTGCTCCGACAAAATCACTACAGCTAAAACATATTGTATGTTTAATAATTATTTATAATTTTATCAGTATTCAATATTAGCATTGTAAATGAAGAATCGGAGATTAGGATTTTTATGAGAACATTTAAAGTGATCATGTTGAAAAGAATGGTATAGAATGTTTAAGACAGCATGATGAACATTTGAGATACGTAAAGTTTTTTCTTTGTGAAAAATAAAACCTAGTTGATAATAAATAGAGATCAAAGCGCTTAGAAATGATACTATGCGACTTAACATGCATTCAAAACTTTTTAAAAATTATTTTTTTATCATAAATGTTTTTTTTATTTTTTACGGAAGTTTGAATTTGAATAGCTCATTAAAAAAAAAAATTAAAAAAATACCTGATTGAATTTGTTTGTAAATTTTGCTTTTGTTTATTTTAAGTTTTTACTGATAATAAGTAAAATCAAATTATAAAAAAAATAAATTAACATCTAAAAGTGATATTTGTCTCCTTTGAAACACAAATAATGAATGGTTGATATTTTTGGATAAAATAATATATAACCCTCCTTATTTTAATTTATTATTTCTTAAAATGTTTCAGCACATTATATGGTGTTATAATTACAAATATAATATAACCTTAAAACGATACAAAAATTAAATTAAATTAAAATCTTATAAATAAGTTTTACATTTTATTTTTGTGCACTGTCGTTAAATTCCGTATCTAATAAACATCTTGTGTAAGCATTATACACACCATATTGTTTTCGGACTTATTACATATTTAAATCTCGTCAATAAAAAAGAATACTAAAGATAAAATTCTATTCAAATATTATAATCATTAATCTGTCGATTATATGAAAATTATATATTAAGTACTACAATTTTACATAGACGAGTATAGATGTATTATATTATTCATTATCGACGTGAACGTGACAATGACCAAAAAACTTCAATCATTTCAACTGCCTTATCGGGTTTTGGCCCATACCACAAATGTGGAAAAACATATTTTCCTCAGTTGGTGACTTTATCTATTGCGCCTTTGTCGTGACGGATGGGTATATCTGCAAGTATATACTTGTATAATATGTTTATATATCGGAATATAGTGTGCACAGTAATATTAGCAGATCAATGAAGTAAAATGGGAATATATTATCATTAAAATTATAAATGATTCTCTCTAGATAGTTTGACCAATTTTTAATCAAATTAATTAATTTTGTATTCTTATGCGTACTTACTGATTTGGACAGCCTAGCTATTTATATTACGAAACCTTTTTATACTTAACGTAAATATTCACTTACAAACTAATAATAATAATAATAATAATAATACATGGTATAGATGCTAGATAAATATAATAATTATAATAAATAGTTATTATATCATAATATATACAATTTTTTTGTCAAAAATCACAGTTCAGCATACCATTTTATTATTTACTAATAGAAAAAACAGTTGCTGATGTTAATATTAATAACTTACAAAATATCTTTAGAAATTTAGGCTAACAATAATAATTTATCATTGAATTAAAATTGAACATATCCCATTCAATGACCTACTTAATTACAAAGTGCCCTCTTGGGCCATCTATACAGCACAGTGACTTCTCCGGGCTTAAAAAGTACTTATTTAAACGTTATTCATTTATGTGCAATACCTCCAACTTATGAAATACGTGTACGATTACATTGCGTGAAGTGCATAACTTTGTTTTGGAGTGCGAAACAATCAATTTAAATAACCGCGTAACTATACGATGCCATTCCTTGCGAATAATACTCGTATGAAAAGATACATTTATTAAGATCCACAAGATATGCACGCGTATCATATAACTTTTTAGTTTATAAATTTCACTTTAGACCTGAAAACACAGGGTACAGTGTTAAACATGCAAATTATCTCGTAAATAATTAGAATGGTTAAAAAGAATCTATAAACAGTAAACATATTACTACCTATATATATTATATATTTATATATACATTTTAATAAGTGTACATAACGTATTATATGATAAAATATGCTGTGAAAACTAAGCAAACATAATATATTTTTAGTTGTACATATAGCGTTATACATATATTTCACTGTGGTGTATATAGGCATGTATATGTGACGACAAGCGTTGGAGTAGGCACTCAAAATTAAGCCGTTAAGTACGGGTTTTTTATGCGGATTTAAAAAACGTAGGGATCGCAATCACCATTTTTTTTACTTTGTAATTCGATAAAATATATTATAAAACTTGTTTCTCATAAATTTATAATATATTTATTATACATACAAATGTATTATAATGCATTGTATAAAAAATTACGTTGGTTTACTTTGAACTTTGTACTTTTTGTATTTCATTGGAATTGCTTTCAGGATAGGTCGAAATCCGATTGACAAAATATTTACATAAATGATATATTATACTAAGTAACGTTTTGTGAAGAGAGGGGATGACTAAATGTAGTATAAATGATTTCATGTTTGTTAAAAAATACGAAAAATATTTATAGAAATGTATACACAAACATATTGTGTTTAATAATGCTCACATAGAAGACAATAATTTGTAGTTTTTCGGAATAAAAATGTCATTATATAATTACAATAAAAATAAAATATCCAAAATGTATTTAAATAATTTGCTTTCTAATTACGCTTTAATCGAATCTCTAATTATACTAATTATAGAATTATCGTTGTATTTTAAAACTTTTATTTAGGTTACAATAGCGTGGAATTATATAACGTTAACTGCAAAGTACATTTTTATACTGAATTTAATAAAATTGACTATATTTAGATATCTATATTTAAGTGCGTGCATAGTTGAAACCATATTGTAGTAGACATACGTTTATCACAGGGTTAAAGGTTAACATGAGTATGTATGAGCTTAATTAATCAGTTATAACTAGTTATAAAAAACATTTTTTTTTTAAATGTATATCATATTCTAATAGTAATTTTTTATAAATATGGTTTTTAAATTAAAAACGATTAATATTATACAATTTAAATACCTAATTATTAATTACTAATACCTGAAATAAGTTAATAACCGTAACAATAGTAAGAATGATTTCTAGTTTAATACATTTTTGTCGTATGAATGCGATATTCAATAGGTTAAAGGTCTTTAATAATGATTTGTAGCTTAACTAGTTATAAGCTATAACTTAAATAGTTATTTAACAAAAAAAATAAAAATATTCATTTAGTATTATGGCTTTTATTAGGCGTATAATATATTATGAGGAATCAACACATATAAGAAGGTGAAATTAAAAGAATTATTTTTCAGTGATAAAAACTATTCGGCCATACCCCTCATAGCTACTATGTAATCATGCATTTTTTTTAAAACACTAAACATTTTCACAGTTATTAGTAATTATGCGACAGAAATGCTTATAAATTGACATAGAAAAGAAAATGCAATTTTTTGTTTTTAAGTTATTAATTTATACAAAATTTAACTGTAATAAAAAATTAAGTATCTATGCGGTCTAAACATTAAATATTAAGACGTATTAAGCTACCAATATTTAACTTTTCTTTTATGACCAAACAAAGTAAATATAAATACACTTCTTTTATTATAATATACGCTGATACAGTATAAACTATATGTATTCTTATAGTTTTTTTATAAAGTAGGAAAGAGTTATCACGTATATTATAATAGAATAAAATTACTATATATGTATATTTAATATTTTTAATTATACAATAATTTGTTGATATTCGTTTCATGTATATGACTAATTTTGTCAAAATATAAACTTCAAACGCACATATATTTTTAATTCTAATAATAATAATTTATGAGAAATCTTATATTAAATGTACAAGGTTTTTAATTTTGTAAATTTTTCTTTTATTCGATATTTATAGAAAAAAAGTTTTCAAATCTCAAGTATGTATAAATAGATTAAAATATTTCGAAAATTTTACTATGTTTAAAAATTTGAACTATAAACATTTGATGAAAATTTTAAATATCTATGATATTTCGTTACTAAGCTACACCAAAAAAAAAAAAAAATTTTGTGGAAAATTGGTATTTCTAAAAAATATTTATTATTGTTCCGTTAAGAATCTTAAATAATGTTTGTAAACAAAATGATTATATTTTAGATATAGCTTATTACTGAAAATTACAATAACTAATAAAATATAAGGTGTGTTATTTTCGATGGTTCCATCAGGAACTGTTAGAGAGAAAAAATGTAAAAATTCTAAAACAAATTTAGACAAGTACTCTTCATAAATTCATGTTACATGTTTATTATACATTGTAATATTTTAATCTTATAATAATAACTATTATCTTGTTTTTCAGATACAAAAGGTCGGGCTGAAATATATGTTGGTAATTGGCATCGTATTGAACGCTCTGTCGACCGTAGCTTTCGGGTAACGTGAATAAAGAAAACCTATGTTATTTTAATATCCCTGATAAGATATAAAAATTACATATAAACATTATAAGATTATATCATGTATTAATTTTTTATTTTTACCAATATAGATATTTGACGTACGTCGACGAAAGAAAAATGTTCTTACTATTATCGCTATGCCTTAGGGTGTTGGAGTCTTTGGGTGCTACAGGCGCCATGGTAGCCGCATTCTCGCTAACGGCTGTCTCATTTCCCGAATCAGTTGCCAGCACTTTCGTACGTACATAATATAATACTATACATAATAATATGATTTTATTTACTAGTCGACATGAATAATAATATTATTTTTGTATTTAAAATATATATTATATATTCCGGTAAAATTTTCCAATTATTAAATAAAATTCTTTGAAATTGTTTTAATTTGAAAACAAGTCCTTATTTTTCCACCTAATATTTTAATCTAAACTTAGCTTAGAAAAAAAAATACTTATCTATAAATCCCCTACATTATAGTTTCCATTTAGTTATCCGACATCCAAAGCTGTCCACCAGAAATATTTTAGGTAATTAGTTTACAACTAATCATTTGATTCCCATAGTCTCTAACGTACATATTCACACACTAAAATCTACTTATCTTTCCATATTGGTATTAATTATAGATTTGTAGATCAATAAGTATTCATGAACAAAACCAAATGATAATAGTATACCTATGGTAAATTATCAATAACGATTATGTCTTACACCTACTCGTATTTTGAGGTGATATAACATGTTTAGAGTTTTGTTAATGTGAATGATAAAAGTGCCGATTTATGCAACGAAATGATTGTTGACGAAGCACTAACATTGTTGTGACTTATGATACAATCAAGGTATATCTTGTCGCTGAAACGGTTTGATAGTCGTTTAAAACCTAATGAAAAAATACAGACTTGTTACTACTTGATGTAATATGACACGGAGATTTTATTCTTGATGTTTGTAACTATATAGTTTTCATGGATCATTTTTCATGATCTTGAAAATTTTAAAAACATCTTTCTCGAGTAAATTAAAACGAAAGTAGATTTTTCATATTGTTATTATATCATAAAATATATTTCTCTAACTGAGGTAAAACCGCCTGTTCCATAAGCAAAATAAACAAAACCTATAAAGAAATCTATGTATATATTATTTTGTATTCGCTATATAATCCAACTTTAGCTTAGAAAAAATGAGCTAACATAAAATACGGAAACTTATCGGTGTATATCGGTTTTAGTGTATTTCAAACACAGACAAATCGGCATTGAAATACCTTACTTTATATACTAATTCGACTGAGGTGTGCAATCCGATTATATACAATCTCTGAAACATTAAATCTCATTCATCAAAATCGGTTGAGTAGTTCTTAAATTTATTAGCTACAAACATAAAGGTATTGCCTTTTGTTGCGCGAGCTTAAATAGCAAACAATTAATTGAATACTATTTTCTTTTAATTAAAAAAAAAAAAAAAAAAAATCCGTAATAATGTTACAGGTCTTCTAGTGTATATTGATTTTTTTAAAATTGGATTTCTATTACTGATAACAACTCTTTATTCTATAATAAAATAATTATTTAATTTAAATTAAAGTGTGATCCACCCATTAACTACATGTTATGAGAGTTTAAAAAAAGGAGAAACAGCCCTGTGTCTTAAAGAATAACTTTTATTGAAATCGGCCCAGTATTTTCTAAGATCAGGGCATTAAAATAAACATACTATTTAGTTTTATGATATTAGTACTACAAATAGTATATTATGAGACAGATTACTAATAAATCACAATCTACCAATGAAAAATATGTTAAATTAAAGATTTTCTTTTATATTTTATAGTCCGCTCTCGAAGTATGTTACGGAATGGGTTATATCGTTGGACCAACTCTCGGTGCTTTGTTGTTCGAGGTGAGTTTGGATTTGAGTATACCTATAATGATATATATATATATATATAAATAATCTTTTAATCTTTTTCGACTTTTTTCTGACTATTTTATTCATATTATCATATTATAATAATGTGTGCTATCCGTCTCGACAGGTCGGAGGATTTTCGCTTCCGTTTGTGGTCATGGGCTTGATTACTCTAGGAACGTCGTTCTTGGTGTGTATTTTGATGAAACAAGACGTGCCTAGTCCGAACAAAGCTAAAAGTAAGTGCTTAAAACTGTAACAACATTACATCTTATTACAATAATAATATCTAATATTTATGGTAATTTATTTAATATTGATTATAATATTATGTATTATATTATTTATGTTCGTTGCAGCTAAAGTAACACATCTTATGAGCGTTCCTACAGTACTCATAAATTCAATTGCAACAGTGATAACAGCCACAGCTATGGGATACTATTCAGCTACGTTAGAGCCACACATTCGCGGGGTAAGTTTTTAAAAACACAATACGTCACGACTGCAATCATGGCTAATTCGACCGACGACACGAACCTTCGAAATAGGAATTAATTATATCAATATTGTTTTAGTGGACTAAATACATACACAAGAAATCGTTTCCGAAAAATACAATATAATTGAACTGTATCTGGTATTTGTGTGTAATTTCTTAAGTACTTCTACTAAGCGTGTACCTATTTTCTATGCAAAAACAATTTACTTAAAAACGTATGAAGCCTCGTTGTTTACTCGTAAGTCATATACAAATCGAGTACTTACGTACGATAATATTAAATGAGATTCTATCTAGTGTAAATTAAAACTAATTATAAACCATTATCTGAACGTGATTTTTACGATCCACTTTAACGTAAACGTTTGTTATAAGTTATAACAAACACTTGAGTTGTACTATGCATGTTATTTATGTATACATCAACGCATAGGTTACTTGATAACAACATTGTTTGCATTTCCAGGCGTGTATGAATATTATATATTTTAACTTTTATTTATATAAATTTTGTTTCTCCTAGTTTCACTAAAAAATTCTTGTGGAAGACCAAAATTTAGTGTATCGTTTTACGAGCATGAATAAATTATAAAAACAGACCGTATACACTGTTTACGATGGCACAATTAGGTTAATTAGGTCTCAGTATGAAATTTAATGAAGGGGCCCTAATTAAATAATTTTCTTTTTAGTTTTTACGTTTATCTCTGCAAATAAAAATATAGACCAATACGTTTTCAATTAATGAGATTCTAAAATGTTTTATACTATCAAATAAGTATACATATTTTTAGTTAAAAAATAAAATAAATACTTAAATAACATCTAAATGTTAAATTATGACTTATTAATAAATTATTAAAACTTTTAATTTTTATATATTTTAATTAATCAATATTTATTATTTTAACGTATTATTTAAATTAAAAATATATTTATTACATTACATTTTTTTTTAAATTTATGATAAGGTTTTTTACCATCTTAATCTACCTATACGTGAAAAAAGCGTAGTTAGTATAAATCTACAGTTATTTTTTAGCAATACATACTATTTATAGCAGTATTATTCAACCTTTGTGTTATGGTGACATACTATTTAACACTATTATAATATTTCATACTTTACGACACACAATAAAAAAATAAGAATAATGAATAATATTTAATTTTAATTGAAAATATAAAATATGTTAATAACAGATAACTCATCTTTAATCATAGAAATTATATCAAATTCCTATTAGGTTTTGTAAATTGTGTCAACAATGTTTATGTATTTTGTCATTTAATATATTTCGTGACACATTTGGATTTATTCGGTAATAAACTGGTTGAAAAATACTTTTTATAATATAATACAGTATGATTATATATTGATGTTGATTCCAGATAATAGATAATGTGTAAAAAACTTATATATTTATATTATATTTTTATCCATTATGCCATCAGTAATTTTACTTTATTATTATTATTATTAACTAATTGGATATTATTTCTTAAACAGTTTTCATGTATTAAAATCATATTATTTTGAAATTTTTTAATCAAATATGGAAATAAACTATTGTTGATTTGCCAGGCCGCTTTAGTCAATTAATATTAGGTAAACTGTGTACGACTCTAATAACTTTTTTGATAGTTATGCCACTACACATATTTTATAATATTAAATTTTAAATAACATTAAGAAAAAATAATTGTGGTTGTAAGATTAATTATATCAATGTTTATTACAATATTGATAACAAACAATTTGTCCACGCAAAATTGTTAGTCAATGATTATGTATGACAATTAATGATGATACCTTGATACCTCGTTTGAATTCTAGCATACTGATTTGCACTGTAAAATAGTATCGAAATATTTGTTTTATTGATATTTATACGAGTACCTTGCATTATTTATTTAAAAGTGTCTCTTAAATGGTGATAAAAATGTGCGAATAGAGGACAAACTGAAAATTTTGTATGCTTGCAATTGATTTGTTGTACAACTGCATTTATGACCCTGTCTCACTCGTGCATACCAACCACAAAGTAGAGTCGTTGTAAAACTTTTAGATACCAAATATTTTTCGACAAATAAAAAACTCAGAGAAAAAACATATTATTTTAATCGTCATTTTCAATACATGAAATTGGATTTAATATTTTTTATGTTTATTTTTCTAACTAAAAAATGGTAGGTTTGAAATAACTGTAAACAATTGTCGTATAAACTAATGATAACTGTTTGGATAATTTTGTTTTTTTTTTTCTTACATTAATAATAATCAATAATTTTATGATACATTTTCAGTCAACAATATTTACATGACATACCTATAGATCTTTTAAAATGTTTCTATTCTAGTTTAAGGATTTATCTATTAGTTCTATGCAAGGTTATAAGCCGGTGAGATTAGACGTAAATGTGTATTTCGACACGATCCCCGATATTGTTTTCATTAAATTGTATAATATTATCTAAGGTAAACCGTCTAATCAAAATTTAATCAGGCTTACTCGTGTACGAAAAAATAAATTACAATGCATAATAATATAATACACTAAACTATTATTATTATTATTTATATGTATACCTTTGTTCCACAGTTTGGACTTTCATCTGTGGACGTCGGATTCGTGTTCATCATCAGCGGTGGAACGTACGCGCTGATAGCGCCATTCATTGGATACATTTGCGACACCGGATTAAATCCTAAAAAAATTATGATCATCGGAACAATCCTAACAGTCATCAGCTACTCCTTAGTTGGACCAGCTCCATTCATGCCATTACAAAAGTACGAACGAATAATATTGATATGACATTATTTTAAAGTAAATTTCGATATGTATCTACCGATTTTATGGTAATGAAGACTAACATGACTGTATATATATAATATATATATATGATAGGTGTAAAACGTTTAAAATATATCAATCAAAAATCTAACAATAAAAGTTCAAGTACACCTACCTATATAAATTATAAATAATTAGTGAAAAAGTCTATAAAGTGATAGTTTTTAGTTGTGTTTTGTGAAAGATTTAAGCATAACATCATCTACCATTACTAAGTAAATCTATGATGAATTTTAAAGACACCCATAGTAATTGGAATATATTTTTTTTAACTTAACTAAACACTGACGTAATACAAAAATAAAAGTATAAAGTTGTTAGAAAATAAACCAATAACAAGAGGAAAACTCACTCACTTTAAATTTGAATGAAAACCACGCGATTAATCTATTTTTGTAAAACTCAAAGAATTTAAACTTTTATAACATTTTATTTCATATCAAATTATTATTTATGAATAATTTTACCTTCAATAAAAATGAGCAAAGTAAAATATAAAGCACATAACGTGTTTAAATATAATGCATTCATGGATCCTGTAGGTATCTACATGTAAATTATGACAAACCTTAATAATTATACGAGTACTTAAAACTCGTGCACGATTCGTATTTGTTGATCTCAGGACTTTGAAAGATCAATCACACGTCGGACGACGATCTACACAGATAAAAAATAACAGTAATAAAATTAGGTATAATCATTTAGTAATTATTGTATGTCCAAACTATAAGTTTGTCTTTACTTTTCACAATTAATCTCTTAAAACCATATTAATATTATATTCGTTTAACAATCGATAAAACTTTTCTTTCATTCGCGAAAAAGTAAAATTATTTCACTTTAGAAAAGGTTATTTTTTTATGTCATTTTACCTGGGCCATCACGGTATCACGTGCGTCTTTCCCGAATCTGTGATCAATAATGTTCACCTGTCATCCAATGGTGATCGGTGGTCCGTGGAGGTATTTTTCACGTTATTTATGTGGTCCAATATTTTCGTGTCGTAACTATTTGAGGGTGTAATAGAAAACTATTAATACTATTCATTATTAGATATTTTATCTTTCAACACCTATAGAATGCATATCCTATATTTATTACGTATACAGTATACACATATTATAAACAAAGTCTGCCACATTAATAATTTAATTTTCGGAAACGTGTAATAATTATAACTTTTATTATAATGACGTTTTGTGGTTGACTCGGGATGCAAGTTAGAATCAAAATAATTAATATTTTCATGAGATTAATATGAAGGTCAAATTCTTTATTACTAAATTAACGACATAATGCTTTTTTGTCAGAGCGTGAAAATTATGAGAAGTTGTAATAAATTATGATGCGTGCCGCTTAAATTATTATACATATACGTATACTATGACTGGTGATATTTTTGGTAAATCGAAATTTCAGTTAATCTAAAAACTGGAGAACTTTGAAAACGCTTCGGTATACATACAAAAAAATCTATAGAATTGAAAATCGAATTGTCATAAATTGTAATACAGTATAATCAAATATATAGCAAGTTAAATAAATATTTATTTTTTGACCATTAGTTTGAAATGAAAACTATTTAAAATTGTCAAATCTTTGATACAATACGGGGTTAGTGACACGAATTACGATTTATGATTTATATTAAAACCCATCAAAAAATTAAAAATACGAGTACTCGTTTACTGATTAATACCTACAAATACCAGTATTGATGCATCAATACTACCAGCCATAATATATGTATACGCGTTGTTCACAGTTAAATTCCTTATTTAAGTGGCTCAAACTTGCAACACGCATAATATAATATTAAATTTACAATTCAATGGTACCATTTCAGTACTTTCAAACTCTTAAAAAAAAAATTATTTTTGAATAAATTATACTGTAAAAGTTATATCATAATCTTGATAGTGTTACGTTATTTTTAATAACTTCTATAATTGTATCAGTTGTCACAAGTTAAGCTGCCGATTATACCTGACATTTTTTTGAAAACAAAAAATTCTTTTTACTTATAATAATAAATATGTACTTTTATTTTTAATTGTTGATATTTTAGGTTCAATATGTATTTATTTTACTGTATCAAAAGCGATATGATATTGTGTTCTATTGATTAAAACTTTGTACCTGGGTACCACATATTATATAACAAAATGATCATAATTGAAAAGAATTATTTTTATGTTCGTAACTAATTGAGCTTAGATTAGAATGCCAGCAGTAGAGGTCGCACAGAGCCATATTATATTATTACACACGAATTGAACTCGTGGTAAAAAACTGACTAAATTTTGTTCTAGAAAAAATGACAACATAATATTATACATGTGAACTAGACAATTGGGAGATTAGTTTTATAATCTCAAACTAGTGTTTTTCAAAAGAAACATTTTGAAAAATAAAAATCGTCTTATTCGAAAAACGATTCAGAGTGCGGGTTCATATTAATATAGCCAAGCTTCTTCAATCCTAATATTATAACTGCAAAATGTATTCAAATTTATTCGTTGTAATTATTTGTGTTGACTCAACTATAATTTGTATTCATATCAGTGTTATGTCGATACGTGGCTTACCCAAGTTATTAGAAATTTAAAATGTTCACTGTTCAAATCGAGTCAAAGGAAATTGATATTATTTAGACTTTTAAATTTAATTTCAAACATAAAAAAGTAAAATAATGATTCCAGTGTAGGATAGTCAGTGTGAATGACTTGTAAATATTTTATAAATATCGTTCATCGCCTTTTTGAACGTATCATAATAATTTATTCACTATACCTACGCACTCGTAATAATAATAACAATAATAATAATAATAAATAAGAATTATTCTTAAAATTTATTAAAAAATATTGTTCTTTTGAATAATTTCCATTTTTTGTTTACCTGTGTTTTGTTTTTTTTTTCTGTTTTTTAAACGAGAAACAAAATAATTTTTTAGTTGTTTTATTATTTGATTTCTTAAAGTATAAATATGAACCTATATTCACTATCATTGAATATGTCTTAACCGTAAAGTCTACTTATTTTCTAGATCCATGCTGTTGGTGGTCATTGGATTGGTCATACAAGGAGTCGCACTGGGCATGATCTGCGTGCCCACGTTCGTTGATTCTATGACTGCTGCCTTGTAAGTTACAACGCACTTATAATATAATAGAATTATAGAAAAATAAACACATCTAAAAAACATAATATAAGCAATGTATTTTTTCTTCTACAGCGATAGCGGTTTTCCAAACGACATACACACTTATGGGCTGTTATCAGGAATCTGGTCATCGTCATTTGCCCTTGGCGCATTTTTAGGCCCATCGATAGCTGGCTTTTTGTATGACTTGGTCGGATTCGAAAATGGAACGTACTTTGAAATTTCATTACACATTACATTGGTAAGTAAAATGTTTTGTGTCTTGATACTGTTATTCTTGATGAGGGGTGGAAGGATGGTTAACGATGACTATTGATAACGAGAATTGCGCGTTTAAGCATTCAAACGAGCCATCTACGCGATAATATTAAGTTGTGTAATCGATTCATATAAATTGATAAGAGAAATTAAGATGCTCCAATGTTTGTTACTAATCACATATTGTTATTAGCAGAATTTGGGATTCATGCATTTTGTGTATTCATATTCAAAAACGTAGCAGAGGTATCAATTGTGTATAAATAAATCAATATTATGTATAAACTATACATATTATACAAGTATTAAAAATTTAAATACGCGAAAACTTGACTTTTATATTTAAAAGATTTTATTTAAATAATGTAAAGTATTTTAAGTATTTTGACGTTATTATTCATATTCGCCTGTGTATAGCTATACAATTTTAACATTTTTGGATACATACTGAATCTCTATGGTTTTTGTGCTCGTATAAAAATCCCAAACCCTAGACTTATAAGTGAGACTACTATTATAGGCGCTTTTCAAGAATAAATAAATCAAAAATTCAACTGTCTATTGAAAAAAAAAAGCTACGAATATTGAATAATTTTGTTATGTATTTATTATTTTACCATCTCATAATATTTAAATGTAGCCTTTACTATTTATGCGTACGTATTATATATTGATATATATTTATGACATTCGGTCGAAAGGCCCGATTATTTTGCCTTTGAATATTTCGTTAAGAAATTCATGGTTTTAAAGAATATATATTTTTACATATGTCATCATCTTCGTGCCTATTATTGACCAATATTTACAGAATCATATATTTTTAAGTTGTATTATTTTAATATTATCATTGGTAAGACTCAATCACAGTCCATTCATTTTATATCCTCCCCAGCTGACTTTCATTAATTGCCCTCCTCTCTCTTCATTAGATATCATTTAAATTACTTTTTTTTCAATTTTCGATCTTAATTTTTCATTTATTAATACTCTATGTTCCAATCATGTAATCATAATGAAAACTGTTTTCTATTCCATTCTTCTTATTGGTTCCAAACTTTAAAATTATATGAGCTTTACACGTTTCTTGTGTTATTATTTTTTTTAACGCTGTTTTATATTAATCACATTTATGTCAATATTTTATTAGATAGAAAAAATGTATAAATTACATTTGTATAACATTAGATGTGTTTAAAAAATAATTTATTCATGTCATACCAAAAAAAAAAAAAAACAATCGAATATCTCCTATAGGTAAATATAATATAACATACATAAACACCAACTTATAAAAATAATGGTATCACCTATAACTGATTTTCTTTTAATTCTAATATTTGTTTATAAATATAAATAACCATAACGTAGCATTTAATAATTTTATTTTTATTCGATTGTTTAAATTGCAAATCCTTGACCTTTTTTATACCTGCTGATTTTTATAATTACCAATAAACCAAGTTATTGTGTGATAGGTGTGTTTCATTGTGATTTTTACGTTAGCTGCGATAATAAATACACCTATTAATTAAACTAGGATTCATACTAATAAAAAATAACTATTAACTATACACAAAAAATTCATCAAAAGTTAAAGTTTATCCATATGATGTTATAAAGTTAAGATATTCTATTAGAAATCTCGTCCAAATTTTAAACACTTGCTCCATTAGTAAATGAAAACAAATTTTTGGGAATATGTAAGTAAATTATTGTTAAAAAATACTTAAAATTGCGTATATAGAATGGGCATATATCAAATAAGTATAATTAATTGAAGTCTATGATTTAACTTTCCCCAAGAAAACTGATCTGCATAAAATAAACATGAATCTAACACATTAAGTAAAATATTGGGAATTTTTTTGTTCTTTCTTAAGTAGAAACTTTAAATTATTACATGATACCTAGTTTTTTTTATGTTAAAATTTCAACATTTTTTGTATACCAGAAAAAGCGTTTAATAATTTAATTAAAACAATCTCATGTTATTATACTGATAAAAATAATATGTTATATGTTTTGTTCAAATACTGTCAAAACATATATATTTCTTGATAATTGTTTGTAAACAAAAACATATATTGCATTGGATACCGATTAGAATACGATCATCTACTATAAAATTTTATATAATTAATAATAATTATAAATATTCTTAAATTCTCAATACATAAAATATCTCTAAAACCTAACCTGGAATTCAACACCTGTTTAATAAACCTACGTTCATTAATATTGAACACTCAACAATTTTCAATATTATTTTAATTTTAATACTTAATGGTATTTATTGCGACAAATTCTGTGATTTCGTGAAATATATACTATATCAATAATTTATTCATATTTATAATATACCCAAATAAAATTAAAATACTTAAGCATAACCTTTGTTAACCCTGTAAAATTAAACTGACATACAATTCTTTTACTAATAATTATCATTTTATAATATTAGATTTGTATATTTTTAGTATACCCTTTTCGTGACAATCCAAGTTAACAATAAATGAATCTTTTTGATTTGTTGTTTAAACACGCAGTGATAAAACAGATAAATGACCAGACTTAACAAATTCTACAGTAATGATATGCGTAGTGTTTTTCATATTTATTTTAAAATTTGAGAACGTTACTGAATACACTAGTAGATACTCACTCTCAACCATTCTTGTGTGGTTTATATTGATAATATGCAAAAATCAAGCCATGTCGGTTTATTCAAAAGATTCAACAAAAATTCAATTTCTGCAGGTCGAGTATGTCCTATTATATGCAAGTTGACATTTTATTTAACTTTTAAATTATTACGAAGTTCTATTTACCCCCTTCTTATATAATTTTATGTTTATCCAAGATTTAAAATAGTGATATAAATATATAATATTATTGAAATTCTATAATCATATTTCAAAATAATAATTATTAAGTATACCTAGTAAAAGTTGCAGTAATGAAGTCTTATAAATAATTTAATAATAATTGATAAATATATAGACATATTTATAAATACAAATAAGTTTTTAAATATTTACCCACTTCAAAAAATTTAAATTACCTATAGAATTATATTAAGGATAGTAGCTTAAAATACCATTTAACTTGGTTAGACAAATATTTCTTTGTTTGTTTATAAAAAAAGTCGATGTAGCTTTTAATAGAAATATTTTCCAGGTATAATCAGATAGAGTTTGATTACTTAGAACAAACCAACAATCTTTTTATTTTAATTCTAATAAACAATTTTAAAAAAGTACGAGTGGATTTTTTCAGTGTATTTCTTTGTTAAAACTTTTCTTTTTTCTTTTTAACTTTATTTTAAAACAAACTATCAATAATATTTAATTTACAATAAACATATGTATGCGGCTATATATTTATTTTTAACATAAGATGCATAAAATAGAAGCCACCCAATAGCGACACTTTATATGCATTTTTGTTTAATTTTTATAATTTTAATTGTAGTTTAGATCACAACACCATCTCCTCTTAAACCTGTGAGAAGGATTTCCTGGAATGGCATCAGAGTTTAGTATTAATATTATTGGATTTAGGTGGTTAGTTAATCGTTAACGGAATCGTTCGTATAGTAATTTTGCAGTTTTGTCTACTGTGTTAATTCTTAAGTCGGTATAAAGAGTATGATTTAAAAAATAGAATGGGGTATTTGTAATTAAGCCAAAAGTTATGGATTGTTGTTAAAACTTAATTAATTATTTATAAATAGACCATTGCATAAATAACATGCACATAAAAATATAATTTTCAAAAGTTTATAATATAGTAATGATTACTATAATATTGTTAAAACATTACTAAATAATGGGTTGTTTTTCGGGGGTCCTGTCTGAAAATACTTGTAGTTATCCACCCGATATTTAGTAACAAAATTGTTAAATTTAATCTATGCTGCCAAGTTAGCTTTACTCACGGTTTACTCATTTTTATCGTGGTGTAATAATGTGGGTAAATCTTCAAAATCATTAGATTTTATTAAACGCTACTCTTCTGAATTAGAGTCCCTAGATAAAACTTTTTATATGGCTCTTATTCATTTTATTTAGGAACATCGTCCCATTTATTTGAAACCCTCACTGTAATTCAGATCGAGAATCAATAATTAAATTAAAACATACTTCTTGAAATTCGTAATTTTTTTAACTAAATCTCTCTTTAGAACAATTAGAACCCTGTAATTACAGTTCAATTCGTACACTCTTGGACTCAACAACTTTGGTCATTCAACGTGAAGCGATGAATATAAATTTCTATGCTACCTATTATATTAATGGCTTTATCAGCTCTCCATATTTATCAGGGCCGTAGCCATTACCTTTCAATAATGAGATACCATTTTTTTCCTTTTGAAATACAGTACACAAGTACACAACACACAACACTGGTACCGACTAAAATATCAGCTAAATATTTTAATGTTTGAGGAAAGTGAAAATTAACTCTTTTTTTGTAGAAAAAACGGGCAGTGAAATAAAACGGTGTCTCATTTTTAAAGGTAAAATAGACCCGACATTAATTTTATCATATCCACTCTTTATTCCCGTTTTATCGTCACAAATCCCCCTCTCTAAATTACAACGATACATAAAAGTTGAGAGTATGTATTTATTTATTTTTTTTTGAACATTTTCGTTTTTGATTATGCACTTACAGTCGTGTAAAAGAAATATTTTCAAATATGCTAATTATTATTGTTTTTGGAACAATGAGTGGTTCGTTATAAAAAAATCACTCTGTATTAGGTGATCACGGTATCATTGAAAATCGTCTACTGTTGATTTATTGCTGTTTTTCATACAACAATTTCTTACAATCATTTCTTTATCTATTTTATTTTTTCAAATTTTTTCCTTAAAATTGTATAATCTAATTATATATGTATATACTATCTGTTGTCGTTTGTGTTATCGCCTGACCCATCATCTCGTTCAAACAAATAATTTATTGTTGTTATTATTATTATTATTATTATTATGAACGCGTGTAGTATAATAATATAAACTGTTGCAGGGCATTGCGCTGATGTTGTTCGTGTGCCTGGAACGGCGGCCGTCTGACAAGTTCGTGGTGAACGGCATGAGCGACTCGACCGTCGGATTCGCCGGGCGCGCGGACGTGGCTGACCCGACCAGCGCGGCGCCGGTGCCTGGCGCCCCGCTCAAGTCGCCCATCTACACAATCAACGGGCACAACCAATCGTTCCGGTCCAGCCACCGATTCGGTTCGACTTACGGAAGCTTCAGCAACTCGTGCTTGGGCACGTCTCTGTCGTCGATGCGCATCAGCAGCGAAGCCAAGGCCGAGGCCCGGGGCAGCCCGCTGGCCGTCGAATCCAGGATCTAGACCGCCGACCACCGTATTATGATGATAACGAATGGTGGTGATGATGAATTCGATGACGACGATCATCATCATCATCATAATACAACGATAGCAACAACCAACCCCATCATCCTCCATACCCCACCACCACCCACACGTTGTGATAACGGCGTTGATGTTAGACAAGCAGACTCGTCTCCATATAAATATTTATAGATATATATATATATATATATATATATATATATATATATATATCTGTGTGCGTGTATATAACTTGTCGTCCAGTCGTAATTCCACCGCTGCCCACGCACGTACTTACCACGCGTTCGCGACACTAAAGTAAAGCGCATAACACATAATATTTTTGTACCCCGCCCCGCGCCGATTCATCTCCATTACCTAGCCCCCGACAAAAGTGTTGACCGACTGAAAAATCGTATCTCACATCGGCCGGGGCTTATAATACGTATACTGTTATCACTGCATATATTAGTATAACGATACACTCTAATATTGTTCGTTTAAGTTTTATCATACTATAATCGTGTACGGTGTGACGTGCGCGCGCGCGCGGCATGTGTGTATGTGTGAAGTGTATTTTATTGATTTTTATCCACGTCTTATACGCAAATGATTTTGTATACAATGATTTTGATTTTTTACCCTTCTCTGTCCCTCTATTTCTCACCGTTAAACCCGTCCGTCGTATTAATACATCCATGCCAATAATAATAATTATAAACCTTAAGTACTTATTATTGTTACTGTTATTATTATTATTACAAGTATCGTTTTATTCGTATGATAAAATATATTTTAAAGAAAACAGATAGGTTCTTTATATTATTAGACATAATAAATTATAATATTTAATATATAGAATATTTTTTCTTCGAGTATTGGTAAATCATTTTTATTCGTAAGCAACCGCCAGTCATGTTCACACCACCAATAAGTATAGTATTATATTTAATGATGATGATTATTGATATTAGCAGCGATGTTTCTTACGTATATAAAACAATATAAACACGTCTCGATTTCCTAAATGAGTTTGTTTGATTTTTACAATGTAGAGTTTAATCGTAAAATGTTTTTATTATTATACCGATGAACGTTTACTAGGCGACACAGTCAACGAAAAGTAGTGTGTTTTATTTTTTGTTTATGCACTACAAAACAATATTATTAGTATACCGCAGCAATGCGTCGCCGCAGACACTGGTCGTCCTCCAATAGTCGTTACAATAAACACCGGTATGGTAATGATATATTATTTATATAATCAACATATATAGATAATGATTTTATTATTATTATTATATTATTGCGTTTTGACAGGATTGCCATAATATTATTACTATTTGTAACACGAATATATTATAGAATGTATACGTACGTAGTACTATTGTAACCAGTTTTCAGTGTATGTAAATAATATAATATAGATATATAGTATTTTGTTAGTGATTTTAGATGTTATTATTTGAATTATTACTTAAGTTACATTGTATACTAACAGTTGAGTTAAGAAAATTAAAATTACGTTGTACAAATCAACACGTATATTATTGTTTGTCGTTGTAACGTTCGTTCCTAATCCGTCTATAGTCCCGTTTTATTTGTGTATATCCTTTAAGTCGATTAAACGTTGAGCTTTGTTTATTTCTTTCAGGGATTCGAAGAGTTACCGTGGAATTTTCATGTTCAGATTACTACATTTTCTAAAATGTATAAAAATAATATCCTAGCACATTATAGTAAGTAAAACGCTTTCAGCGAAGTTTAAATACAATATGTTATATTTGTCACAACGAAAGAACACGGTGGAAAATAAATAATAATTTCAACGTCTCTTTTAATCAATATAATATGTGCTTTTTACTATCTTACTAAAATTAAAAATTAAACTGTCAGCTTCCATGCGTCATTACCAATGGCTATCGCGTTTTAGAATATATACGTCCTTTTTATTTTTTAATTATTTATAAACGATTGACTTTAATATATTGTAATATACATAATAATGTTTAAAGCATTACATTTTTAAGTTTTAATCTTAAATTTAAATCAGTGGAGTAAAGTGGAATGAAGGTACTTACAAGTTATAAGTGTTATAACTACTCATTTTACTCGTTTGTAATTCGATTCCTTGTGTACCAAAATTCACAAAAAAAATATTCTACTTTAAAACATAAAATTAGAAAGATATGTAGTTATTCAAATGAGAATACTAAAATTATAATGATAAAAATATGATTTTTTTTTTTAATAGTGTTCTGTAATAATATTAAATAGAAAACATTTTTAATACGTTTATAATAAAAACGGCGTCCTGTATAGTCAATTTAAGTACTTTACAGTTGTAAATTTATTTTTTATTATCTTTTAATTTACAACAAATTATACCTATTTAATAAAATTGTCGAAAAAAAAAAATAAGAAAAAATAAGAACTTTTTCGCTAAGCTAGTTTTGGACAAAATTAATTTTTTTATTTAATTTTAATTCAAAAAGTAGATATCGTAGATAAAATTTTCATAAAACGTTTATAGATATTATCATTTTCTTTACATGGAATAATTTTCAAATTATTTTGACACTTTTAAGTTATTTATGGTTAGAACAGTATTTTTAAAAAATCTTGTCTCCAAAAATTCTTCGAGTCTCCCAAATGTACAGTTTTTCAAAAAATATCTCATTTATATTATGTATTGTGTCTTTTGTTTTGGGATAATAGTACATAATATTATTAATGATAAATAATTTAAGCTTACAAATAATACTATAACTATGACCGCTTGAGAAGAACATGAACGCCGCGGTTATTAAGTGTAAATAGTAATAATTATATAATATATTGTGACTTATAAATTCATCAGAACATATTTTGTTTATAAACTATTATATTTTAGAAAACCCAAGGTTTAAATTACCTCGATAAAAATTGTCGTATATCTATAAAATCCATTAAAATCAATATACCTACACATTTATTTATTTTTAATTAAATTAGTTGTGCATAATAAACAGTAAACACGCATATACCATTTGGTGGGTGGCAGGGTGTATATTCCTATTTTTTTTCTGCATCTTGTTGACCGGCTATCAATTGAACAAACTTTTAAATAGTTAATGTATTATAATTAAAATATATTATGGAAATTATTATTTTTGAGCAAGGGTCTCGATCCAATTGAGTCATTATTGAAAAATAATAATAAAGTTATTATTTGAATTGCATTGCAATTTACAATCTATTTTTTGGACCAAGGTGATTGCTTATTTATTTAAGCGATAGGTAAAATGTTTGTGATACATTTAAATTAACACGAGGTTTATTCGAAGAGATTTAACTTAATTATTCAGAATGGTCATTTTGGAAATTAAGTAACTTGTAGAGCTAAAGTACATTATGAAACTTTCTTCTCATTTCAAATGATTTAACATCGAAATTGAATGATTTTTGTACAAGAGACGAATCTATTTTGTTAACCTATTTCATATACAAGTATCCGTAAAATCCGGTTTTGAATACGTTCAATTTTGACTTATAAACTATAATTAAGAAGATTAGCGAAAATTTCTAGTAACTAAACCATATTTTAAAATAAAATAATCACTCGCTACACTGGTTATAAAAAAACCAAGAAGGACCTATATAATAAAGTCGCAATTTTTTCAAGTCGCATAAATTAATTTTGCGATTACATGTTGACGTTAATCAATAGTAATAATCATATATCGAATAAAAACCAATTAAAGGACATAAATAAAAACTTATTTGCGTCACAGGCGCTACAACTTGTTTAAATAAGTCTGAACGTAGGGTCTTGATGAGCTGTTTTTAACCTCGGTCGGAACTTGCATCGGAGTACACTCGATTTCGGTCGCACCAGATGTCAAATACATTGAAATTTTCGCAATTCAATTCCATAGTCTTATCGCGGTTTGGCCGGGTCTTTGTTCGATTCCGTAGGAACTTACAGCGTCGACTAGGCGGAAAGCGATCGGATCTCAACTTCTGCAACAGCTGTCACTATCACTGCCACGTTTACCATAGCATTATAAAGTATCATCTGTGGACCCGTGTAGTTTACCAAAAAGATTGGTGTCGAACAATATGTTAACTGTTCGGTCAAGTCCTATTGTACCGAGGTGAAGAATGATGACCAGACTTCGACTTCATCACTACTAGATATCATCATCGCGATATTGCAAAATAGTTATTATAGTAATTATGTAGATGTAAAAATATCAAATATTGAACCATTTTGTATACGAATCAAGTATAAACATCGAGAATGTATAAGTACTTATATTAAAAAAAAAAAAAAAAAAAACTAAGATCAAATCTATTAATATTTTTATTAAAAATCCGGTATTATAAATAGATTCAAAGTAATTATTATTCAAGTTACTTTAAAAAAAAAAATCTCAAAAATATATAAACACAATTATTTTTTAAAGACATTGAAGTTCAAATTTTGATAAAATTAAAAATTTAAACATTGAATACAACAGTGTTAATTATTTTGTTGTAATTCAAAAATATTATTCACAGGGTCTAAATCTTTTACGTTGCTTAACAGTAAGGTATTATTGACTAAAAATTTAACTACAACAACATAATAATATGATATAAATAAATATATTATAAGGTATGACAACTAAATATTAATTTTATTATAAATACAATGTTCTGGCAAAAGTAAATCAACCTACCATGATATTATATACTTAGTGATATAAGTTTACTAACTGTCTCCTTTCATTATAATCGTGTTTCATAAATACAATCAAAATGATTGAATATCATTGGATTCAAATTTAATACATCAATTATAGTGACTCGACACCCACTGTACAGCAGTACAATAACCACTTGCACGCCTTTTCAAAATATACGAGTAGATGTTAGAACAATAAAAAACTTAACCAAATCCGTCATAAATTTAAAAACAAAGACATTCGGTAAATTCTATGGATATTATATTACCTATAAAAATCGTGAAATTAAGATTTATAGTAAAAAATATTTTCAGTCATTTTAATGATTGCTACCAAATAAGTAATCATCTGTAGTAAATTTTAATTTTCATAAACTCAAACACTTGTCAATTTATACAAATCGTGGTTAATAGGTCATAATATAATGTAACATAGCTATTAAAAGTATTATCATTATGTTTATTTCAATAATTCTATATTATTATGAATTATAAATGTATGCTTGATATCCTAATCATAATCACAAATAATATAATAGTAACTAAAATTATAACTAATTTAAATTTACCAATAAAAAATGTGAAAAAAATATGAGCATAGTATATGTATAATATTATGATGAAGGTCACAACTACATTTTTATCGTAAAAATTTAAAACTAAGTAAACTCAATATAATAACACCCAATAGATATAATTATACAATATTCATAATAACTTGAAATATTATTTGAAAACCAAAATCATTACAGTGTTGATTATAGTAAAAATAATAACACCTGTTACGTATAGTAGGTGTTGAGCGAACCTCGCCATTGGCTAGGTCACTGTAATACATGTGTTTAATTTGAATTAAATAATTAATCATTGTATGTAAAAAACGATTCTGAACTGACACGCATTTTTTACTTACCTATTCCAATTTTAGATTTTGAGCGGAAATCGGTATTAAGTTTACGATTATACGTATGTGGGTTTTTTTTTATTGTTTGTCATCGCCTATTGGGGAAATAAAAATGCTTTAATTTTCAACTTTAAAAATAGTAGAAATTGGTTCTAGTTGAAATTT